CAGCTAATACGATATGAGTAAGATCAGCAGTGGATCAAGGAAATTCCCAAACTGTACGCTATAGCCACGCAGCTCTGCTGATATGATGACGAACTGTCAATAATATGTGTCAAAAATAACCGAACTAGCGAATACCAACGAGAATGTGTTAAATGTGTGTGTGATTGATGACTTGTTTATTTTGTGGTAATTCATGATCACTTTAATGAAATGAATAAAAACACTTTGGTCTAATCACCACTAGTTAGTTTTATTCATACGACCGGTTTCGGGTTTAACCCCATTATCAAGTATAAAACTAAAATGTGAAATTTGAAAACTCTGTTATATCGGGAGTTTTTTGGTAAAATGGAAGGACAGGTAGTTAAACGAAACAGGGTGCCTACTTCAAAATTCGACACTGAAGTGGAGACCTACATAAATCGAGTTGCTCGTTTAGGGGGTATATATTTTTGGTTTTTAATTGATTTGCTAACTTACATGGCTTCCAACAAATTCAATGTATTCCCTTCATTACATATGTGTAGGATTTTGAGGTTATCTTTACTTATCTTGTGTTTTGATTCTTGAAAATGTTCATACGTTGTAGATTTTTTGTCCAAAGAGACGTATTCACGGAGACTTACGTCAAAATTTCTACCGCTTTGGCCTGTATATACTGCAGAGCATTCACCACACTCGTATTTTATATATACCTGACATTTTCTCGTTTGGGTTTTGCATTCATAAGCTTTCATAAGTAATAATAATTCAGGCAGAGCTCTGATTAATGCAAAACCCAAACGAGACTGAAAAAATCAGGTATATATAGAATAGAGTATGGCGAATGCTCTGCGTTATATACAGGCCAAATCGGTGGTATTTTTTGACGTTAGACTCCGTGAACCAAGCAGAGCACATGAATATGGCATGTGAGACTTTGTCGAAACGTCGTCATTGTGTCAAAGACAAATGGATGTACACCTGGGATGACACCCCAATAGAACACCTCATTTCTCATTTCTTTTTCGAATTTTACTATGAATTCTAACAAGACTTTTATCAGGGTTATTCATTCCTAAAAGCAGCTACTTTCGAGATATTGCAATTTTTCTAGAAAAACAGTGTGTCTGACAAACTCCATTCCACACGAAGTCAATCAGAAATAAAAAATAATTTTCTAGGATTTGGTTCTGAAATCTTTTCTCGATATATTTTTATAGTCGATTCAAACGATTTTTTCACAGGATGTTTACAAATAACAAGTCAGTTTTGTTCATGTTCAAACCTTATCATCTTTGAGATCCTCTTATTTTTTTTTTGAATGATGTATGTTGTCCCTACACCCAAACTTGAAAGTATTCGAGTAAATAACGATTTTAGTTCAGTTGTCAATTTTGGATACTTCGATAAAGTTGCGTATTATTATGTATTGTTGTGTAAGTCGTCGGTATTCTGTTGATAGAGTCAAATTCTGCATTTTTTTTTATGAAATGAATGGAATATGCATGTCACATTCATTTTTCTTATCCATTTGTATAACATTTGTATCCATTTTTTATCCAAAATTTGTTATCATATCCAGTTTAAATTAAATTTTCTGTTCCATGAAATCTCCGATGCATTAGCAAAAACGTTTCAACAATTTTTTAAACAATTTTCATTTCAAATACAGTATTCTCCGTGTATCTTTTATCAAGGTTTTCAAGTATGATTACAAACTATTTGATTGAATCGCTTGGCTGTCAATTATTGGACGTTATACACCTTTGGTTTTAATGAAAGTTCACTCTATTTGAAAAAAGTAGATATGGTTTCAACCACAGTTTCGAGAATTATTTGTTGGTATCGAAAGATTGTTGCAGATGTTTCCCAAATATGGCTCCGTTGACAAAAAAAGACACGAAGTAACTAAAAAATGAAGACACAGTTTTGGGCAGAGAATCCAAAGGTAACCTCTATATGAATTTTAAGTTACATAGGGATAAGTCACTCTAGCGTCAGCAGAATCTTCCGAAAAAAATATCATCTCTATCGCATACATTGGTCAGTCGGTAGCCAAGCGGTTCGGCGTGGGTGCTTTGTTCACTCACTCGAATTGACTGCCGTGTTGGTCGGTGGTTCAAGCCCTAGTCTGAACGATCGATCTTCACTTGCTACCGTCCAACCCGTGTTAGGAATCACACGTTAAAAGGTAAGACCTCGTTAATCCTTAGCTCGCACAAGTTTCTACTTCTGAGGGTTGTCGTTCGTAGGGGTGCGACAGCTGGTTAACGGAAAAACAGATTTTGAACAGATTTTTTAAACAGATACAGCTTCATCAGAATTTGAACGGTCATGACTTTCAGCATCAAATTTATTTTCTTTAATGGGCAATTGAACGAGCAGGAGAAATGAATGATTTTTTTTACCATATAGTATTTACAAATAAATCTTTATTTCATAAAATGGCCTCGTAAATAGGCACAATTTTCATTATCATGACAAAGAAAACAGGCACGTCTATCATATCATTGTACATGAAGTAAGTGGGCATACTTGAAGACTGGCTATAAATCAAATTATCTACAAGAAAATTTTGTTCAGGCCACTCTCAACTTATCTACTCTGTAGGTCAATGGACTGATACCTATCAGAAAACAACTACTTCCCTGGCTAATACCACGAAGGGCGTTGGATTATATACAACGAGAGTCAGTGCACTGACACCAACTACTTTATGTAGAGTTTTCTTTCGTTATACAAGGAACTGAGCAAATTTAGGATATGCCGTTGGTTACCTCGTTCACAGGTAGATGGGGTGATGACAAACATCTTGCTTGTCGTTCGCTTCAACCTAATTTAAGGAATGATACTCCGAAAGAATTCGATTTTATGTTGATGATAGTTTCATGAAACATGAATTTTTGGAAATTCTCCGAACATTTTTCCCTCAATATACGACATAGAATGTGGTTACAACTGGATGGTGCTTCTCATCCAATGATCTATGAGGAGTTATTTGGATAGAAAGAGAATTTGGTAGATGTATAACGGGCCAGCAAGCTCACAGTTTCACAACAATGACACCGACCATGTGTGATAATGCTAGAATATCATTCGAAAAAAGCATCAAATAATGTCTAGAGTAGAATGGCGGTCATTTTGAACATTTGTTGTAGCTTTATTTATTGGAAATTAATTAAAATAATCGTATTTATTCGAAAACATTTAATTAACTCCAAAGTTCAAAATTACCTCAAATGGATATTTTTTCAGTGCAACGAGCCATTGAAGAATTATATGAAATTAGACTTGAACTCAATTAACAGAAAAACTTCCACCGACCCGACAATACATAATAAACAATAGCTGAACTTTGTCGAAGTATCTAAAGTCAAAAACCTAACCAAAGTCGTTTTTTAATCGAAAATGTTTCGGTTTGTTTAGGTATAGGAACAACGTACATCATTCGAAAGAAAATTAAAAGACCTTCATCTTGGAGTACAATATATGAGGTGTTTCATTTGTGTAATTTAAGATAATTAGGTTTGAACTTGATTGGAATTGACTCGTTATGTGTAAATACCCTGTAAAACATCGTTCGATTTCACTATGAAAATATATTGAGAAAAGATTTCTGAATCAAATTCCAGAAATTTATTTGTAGGGCATTAAATTTTATTAAATTTGATCATAACGAATTAATTTCGATAAAAGGCACACATTGATCCCTCTAAATTATAACAACTGTGTAACTAATTCAGTCATCACAACATGAGTTGAAATGAACAATAAAAAGGAATGTGTTCAATCAGCTTCATTTTTTAAACAGCCGTTTGATGTTGCTGGAGTGACGATCTTCAGCCATAACCTTCATCCTGGTATTCCGATATCTTGTTCGCGATTTGATATATGGCATATTCATCAAATCAAACAATGAACAAAAATTCACAAAATATACGAGTATATTTTGTTATTTCTGTCTGAATATGCTACTCAGTGTAGCAGAATTGCGTACTGATATCATATCATGGAATTGATGTGGGTTTCAGCCTCAGGTTATGAATCAGACAGTTGCGGTAAATTTATTTTTTTAAATTTTGCACAGTTCTTCACAGTCCAAGACCTTCAAATTTCTAATTCTTCCACTAATTCTCCTCAAATCTTCAAATTTTTTTCATGTAATGTCATTTTGGCACCAAGTATCATAATTTTTTGTTCCATAGATGAAATCGTTCGAGACGAGGATGTCAGCCTATTGTATCTCTAAGAATCGGAATACATTATGAAGCCATTTTGACTTCAGATAGTTTTCAGTGATGATTCTTGACATCCAGATGATTTCAGTGATACCACTTTCAGCGAAATCGGGCGACCGGAATTGATCTGAATCTCCATACCTTGTATTATTCAAGTAACACTCGAGGAAGCCCTCGCATAGCTGGCTCCTCGTTTGGACTGAACGCTTCGATGGAGCATTCTGCTCACCAAACCATTCGAATGGTGCTGGCCGGTGGGAGAATGAATATCTTGATATGATATTGAAATTACCGTAAGGGAAGCTTTTGGTGCAAGCGGCTGCACATCACACTATCACAGTGTCGAGGGCAAACAGCACACAGTATTCTAGAGAACATGATCCAAATCAATCTGTTTTTCAACAGGATCAAATATTTCGTTCGAATACTTGTACAGGGTCGTGAACGTTAAAATCTCAATGGATTTGAAGAGCAAGGTTTGTACTCTGTCCTTGAATATAGTCTAGACTGTCTAGAGTGAAACAAGATATTTTGCGTCTCCTCTTTCAGAATACCATCTTAGGGTCAGCGGAATAGTCAAATCCAAACATTTGAAATGAATAGCGCAATTTTTACTAGTCAGCTCAATTGTTGATATAAGTTCATTTGGGATTGTACCTTCACCTAGAATCGATCTCCTATATTTTTATAAATAATTGGAAAACGAGTACTTACCTACTTAAAGCATAAAACGCTTCGTATATTCTCTTATATATTACATCAATTCGAAATTGTTTTCAGATTGGAAATAATACTGAAACTGCTCAAAATACCACTCAAGATATTCATAACCATATACATACCCTCAAAAACAAACTGACCGATCTCCAGAGGAATATTACCGACAATGGAATTTTTGCTAATAGGGTGATCGAAGAATCCGAAAATATAGTGAAAAGTGCCCAAAAAACCAAAGATGACTCATTAGAGCTTCAAAATAAATATAATGCCGCGACTGGTGAGCTCGAACAAAAACTGAATAACGTGAAAGCTACAAAAGAAAGGGCGAATGATTTGTTTACGAAAGCTTTGAATTTGGTTGCCAGAGTCACGAAAACACAAGAGGACATTCAGAAGCTTGAAGATAGTGGGCAAGGGGAGGAATTAAAGAATCTCGAGAATTTGTTACAAGATCTCATTAAGAAAATGAATAAATATACATCGCAACTGGATAACAAAGTTTTATTCTATAAAAATTGTAATTAACATGCTGAATGGGTTATTTTCATTCATTGAGCAGAAGCTTGTATATTGACGAGTTCAAATATGTCGTAACAGTGACGTTCGGATAACGTTCATTAGTACTAATACGTCACTTCTGGTAGATACCAATTTTTCTTATAACAATATATTTTTCCTATAGTCATAAAATCTGGTAAAAATTTGTTTTATAATTGTACTTATTTTATTCCTTTCTCATGTAAACCTTTGTAAACGTTTTTTATTCTGTAAATAAATAATTTATTTAGTATGTCTTTTTTTCCATTTTATTTCAATAGGAATAGGAGAAATGGTATAATACGAAAATGAGTATTTAATTATATTATCACAAATGATTAGGCCTATGTAAAAAAATAATTAATGCTAACTCTAATTATAGGATTAACAAACGTTAATCACATTTGTATCACTGGTAACATGAAACTAATAATAAATGATGAAGGCGTCTGTTCATTTTTACGTTCGCGTATTTTCCTCTATCCAGTCTAAATATTCGGTAACTCTCGTATATACTCCGGGATATCCAGGTTCCCCACACTTGTTTCCAAAAGATACGACTCCAACTTGCACCCATTTTGATTCCCAGTGAATCATTAGAGGACCTCCCGAATCGCCCTGAAAGTAAAATCCCCAATTATCTTGAAAAGCCTGTAATGAAGAAAAGAGAATTGAAACTTTCTATTTTTTTACCACTTTTATTTTTTACTAACGTTACTGCAGTTTCCAAGGATTCTTAATAATTGAGTTTGTAACCCTTCCTTGCATAGTGCAAAATTTCCGTATCGTTTAGATTCGGAAACTTGTGGTTGCATGCCAAGAAATGGTTTGAAAACGTTGAATCATTTTTTCCCTAGTCTGAAGGACCTTTCATGTTCAGCATACCGTTTTTGAAAATTTCGACCACATTGTCCCACATAAACACTATTACACTCTGGACACTTAAGCTTATAAACTCCAGATTTCTCCAACTTGTCCACCTTATCTTTGGCTTCGAAAAGGAAATCAAATAACCTGGCATGTGGTCTGAATGCCACTTCCACATTGTTTTTTCTGTTTTCAAAATATGTTAGAGTTACCCATGTCTTGATTTCTGGTTGGGTTACTCAAACATATTTTGGAAAAAGAACACAGAGATAATTGCGGGTTTCTTCAGAAAAACCAATGCGGAAGTGGCATTCAGACCACATGCCAGGTTATTTGATTTCCTTTTCAATACCAAAGATAAGATGGACAAGTTGGAGAATTCCGGAGTTTATAAGCTTGACAGTCCGGAGTGTAATAGTGTTCATGAGGAACAATGTGGTCGAAATTTCCAAAAACGGTATGCTGAACATGAAAGGTCCTTCAGACTAGGAAAAAAATTATTCGACGTTTTCAAACCATTCTTTGGCATGCAACCACAAGTTCCTGAATCTAAATTATACGGAAATTTTGCACTATGCAAGGAAGGGTTACTAACTCAATTATTAAGAATCCTTCGAAATTCACAAACATAAACTTTGCAGGTGCAACCTGTTAAATGATCAAATCGATTTAGTTTACTCACCGGTTTTTAAATTGGCTCATTCTCATTGTAAACTATACATTCAGGTACTCAATCAAGCCAAGTACCTCTATTAGTACCTACAGGGGTAGTATATAAGGGCTAATGTAATGAACCATTGTTAGTTTAATGTATGTTTGAAAATGCCCTTATAGAACGAACCTGCAGTAACGTTAGTTACAAATGAAAGTGGTAAAAAACATAGAAAGTTTCAATTCTCTTCTTCTCATTATGCTTTCCTACCACGTAGTAATGGCTACATCCATCAATTCATAGAAATATCGGTTATTTAATTCGTCAAGCGGCTTAAAACCCACCCCATGTGAAAGACCTAGATAGATTTTTTTTCAAGGAAAAACGTTCTCAGGAAGTTTATTTCACAAAAACGCAATTTTCCAGATGGAATACTTCTCAAACAGTGAAGTTCGAGGTATACTGAGTTGAACCTCAAAACGATGAGCAGCCACAGTCCGTCGCGTATTTCTGATATGTACCGATCTTGGTGGAATCAAATGTGCCAAGTCACTTGAACACTTCCCGTGAGAGACAATAATCTCCAACTTTTCTTCGATGTTCCAGGTTATCAAGGTTGCAAGGTTATATTCGTGTCTCCAATCGGGCGTATGGCTCTTTTCTGAATGAAATCCAGCAACTTCAGGGTATGTTCCAAGCTTTTGAGGAGCAGCCTTTGCAATTCCAGCGACATGATTGTGCCAAGGCATATGGGTGTCCATTTTAACCCCCAACAAAATTTTCGAAGCAGAAAGCGGAATTGTCTGACCTGACATTATTATATCCGGTTCGGAGGTATTTATCTTCTTGGAGAAAACCGATGTGGAACAAGATAGTGTAACAAAATATTTCGGTTGTAGAAATGTTATGAATAGCTTTTATGTACCTCAGTTTGCTGAAAAGAAGTCCAGTCTGAAGTATCTATCACATGAGAACATTTCCAACCGATAACAAATGACAAGCATTTGGCTCAGTACGCTCGTGACCACTCAGATCAAGTAAAACGTGTTTCATAAATAACCAGCTTTCCAGAATTTCTGCCTTAGCAGTGATATTTGGACCACAAAAACCACATTTCAGAGTACTTTAGAATCATATTCCTAACTGTCCTTACCTGACAAGCGTCAGTTCCTCCTTGTGAATACCCAGCACAGATGAAGTTGGGAGTAATAGGTTGAAAGTAGGCATCATTACAATCTTCGTTTCTCCAAACTGGTAACACGGCTTGCCTCTGTACTGTGCTTTCTTTCCCACCATAGTAAGTAGTACCCCACCCGACCACTGTAGTTTTCCTTCCAGCAAATTTCTCATTCCTCATTTGAGGGGGAGGAATGCAAATAGGTATGATATATTTTGATTTCCTCGCAGGATTATCCAGTTTCAGGATAGCGATGTCGTTGTAAAATCCCGCTCTTGAAAACTTTTTGTGAGCTCGAATCTCTGCTACCTTGACCGTTACGGGACTGGAAGGTTCATCATCTCGCTTCAGATCGACGTCACCCAAACGGACAGTGAATTGACGAGCAGCAAATCTGGAATCAAAGATTATTGCCACAAGCAATATTTCTCAATTTTAAAATATTTTGAATTCAACAAATATATCACCTCAAAAGAAGCTATGAAGATTTTTTGGAATTACTAATGAAACTTCGAATTTCTTCATAATACAAAATTGAAAATACCAACTTTTTAGAACTGCTAAAATACAGAACCCATAATTATATCTTAGATCTAGAACGCGTTTCAGATTTGGCACATCGATAATTCATTTTATCCCTGAAAACCAATGAAAATGCTGACCGTTATTTTCACGTTCATTTTCGATATAAATTGGAAATCTATGATATGTAACTGATAATAAACGTAAATCTGACGTGAATTTGATGCAGACAATATAGTGTTTCATCGGAAACGTGTTATATTCGTGATCATTATTATTAATATCTAATGGATACAAAACATTATGAAATATTGATATTTTTTTGTTTTTCTATTAGTATTATTCATTGTCATGAAAAACAGGAAAATGATCATTTCTCCTGAACATATATTCGTCATTCAGAAAATTATCCACCTAATATTTTTTTGTATTTTTACGTGAAAATTTTATTCAAGCATCTAAAACAAGAGTGATGCATTATGAGGATATGGCTAAAACTAATTCCTTAGATAGGTAGACAGAAAGAAGCCTGGGATTTGCGATATGAATTGTGACAAGAAGTTTGTTAGTCAAACTGGTTAAAAAAATTGTTTCAAGAAGCACACAATTGGTTTTTTCACCAGAGAAGCTTCATAGAACGGCCACATAAATAATACGAAAATCTTGAATTTATTGAGATTTGTACATGATGACATATTCGACGAAAGTCCCGTTCCAAGACTTTCGCTTAC